TGTTTCTAATGTCTTCATAGTTGGGGCAGCTGGTGAGGAAGTGTTGCTCTGTGAGTACAGTGAGGGCAGATGCGGCTCTCTCTGGGCAGCCAGTGCTGTGGATATCTGCCCGTCTCTAGAGTCAGAGTATGGCTGCTCAGTCTGTACCTCGTCATCTGTCTTCTTCATTTACAGTCTTGCACTGTACTCAGATATTCTGCAGTTGTGTAATCTCTATTTAGGGCCAAATAACATTCAAGTTTACTTTGTTTTTCTGTTGTTTCAGTCCAATAGGTTAGATAATTTTCTTTTTGTGCTTTTATAATTTGGTTGGGCCGAATTTTGTGGATGAATATTTCAGAGTCCTGATGCTGGATGTTGTTAGTCATGTTAGTTTGTTTTTGCAGCTTCAGGACCGTCTGAATCAGGGGACTTTTTTCAGGGTTCACTTCATGGTTTTTAAGGGCTTTAAAATGGTAAGAGTTGGGGTCACTCATTTTTAGGTGTTTCCAAAATTTGATGGCTCTTTTCTCAATGCGCATTAGTAGAGGGTATTGGCCTAATTCTGCCCTGCAGGCGTTGTTCGGTGTGCTCCTCTGTACTCTGAGGAGACTCTTACAGAACTCAGCATGCAGGGCTTCAATCGGATTTTTATCCCATTTTTCGAATTGGTGATTTAGGAGAGGACCCCACACTTCACTGCCATATAATGCAATAGGTTCTATGACTGATTGGAATATTTTGAGCCAGATTCTAATTGGTATTTCAATTTGGATAGATTTTTTGATGGCATAAAAGGCCCTTCTTGCTTTCTCTTTCAGTTCATTCACAGCCAAATTTAGCTTGCCAGTGGCATTTATCTTCAGCCCGAGGTATGTGTAGTTTGTGACATTTTCAATTTTGGTCACACCAAGGGTGAAGTTATGTCTCTTTCCCTGAACTCTGGGTCTTTTCTGGAATGTTAGTACTTTAGTTTTGTTAGGGTTAATCGTCAGGGCCCAGGTCTGACAGAACTTGTGCAGGATGTCTAGGCTCTGCTGTAGACCCTCTTCTGTTGGAGACAGCAGAACCAGATCATCTGCAAACAGCAAGAGCTTTATGTTATTTAGCTTTATCTCTCTCGCACACACACACTCTCTCTCTCTCTCTCTCTCACACACACACGTATGTGTATATATATATGTATACATATGTCCTATAAATGTGTCAAATTTATGTCCATATGATAATCGGTGCAGCTTTCAGTGGACAAGACTGTTTAAAATGACTAATAAGGAAACATGGATGAATGAGAAAGTAAAGAGTGGGATATGATATTGAAAAGAAATATTAGAAACGCAGTAAGCCACAAAAGAAAACTGAATCTGCTACTGAGAGGATGCTTTCTGTGCTCGCTCTGAGCAGAACACGGACTATCATAGCAGTTTGTCTTTGGCTGTGCACCTAAACGGTCAAATACACACAAAAATGTCAAAATGCGATTATTCACATAAACACAATCTACATAAGCACTGTGTGTTGTTCTTCACTCTCTCTCTCTCACTTACACACACAACTCAGTGAAAGCCCTGCTCAATTAATTCCATATTGCAGCTTATTTATAGTTTGTTGCATTATTTTTTTACAAAGTTGTCTATGGACCTTATAAAGTTACTTTTATTGAAATGCTATTGAAGAACAATTAAAAAAAGTTTAATATTATTTATTTTTTTTTTTTTATTTTTTTTTTTTTGCTGTGGCTCTTTTGGAAAAATGCATTAACCAGAAATGAAAAAAATCTGTTTTTTTATTATTATTATTATTATTATTATTATTTTCTATTTTTACCCAAAATTGGGGTGATGTGAGCATTATGATGCATTAATCCAGTGGTTCTCAATCCTGGTCCAGTGTTTCTAATACAGAGATTGTGGGAGTGATGTTAAATTTGACTTCAGTGAAAATTCAAAATGGACTTTTCTGTAAAAACCACGTTATATTTGAAAAGATGCATTTAAATTTTATCACCTAATCGTCCACATGGACCATTTGTATTTGGACTCCAATGATTGCCATTATTATTAGTTTTGATTAGGTTTTCCAACCCAAAATGAAAGCCTGCTAATTAGTTGGAGTACAAATCAAGTCAAATAAACTCTTTCCTTTGGAAATCTAATTATAACCATGACTGGATTCTGAGCATGTGCAGTTTAACTAAATGTGAGTTATATTTGCTTAGGCACGAGGAAGAGCGACGCAGACGTGAGGAGGATATGATGCGTCATAGAGAGCAGCTTGACGTGAGACGCCAGCCGGAGGGATTCAAGCCCAGCTTCATGGAGAGTGTGAGTACTGGGAAATGCTTCACATTCTCTCTGATCTCTAGCAGGGTGCCAGACTGTGACTGTGGGTTTATGAAGTGAGATCACTTTTTCCCTGGTCTTTTTTCACATATAAGCGATCATTGTACTCTTTTAAAAAAACATACTGTAATAATATTCAGAACTATTCAGAAAAATGGTTTGTTAGTGCTAAAACACCTTTTATTGAAACCAAGCTGCTGACACAATTTTTCTATTTTTGAATATTTATGACATAATATATAAATACAAACCTGCCTGCACAGTCACAGATCAAGGCCTACGTCTTCATCATCGTCTCGTTGGCCCACATATTTCTGATATCTCAGGTACAGCCAGACGTTCTTTGTTGCAGAACCATTTATTGTTGTATACTTCACATTAGTTGCATTAAAATTCTGTCATTTAAGTTGATTAAATTGTTGCTATGTTTATAATCACTGGAGCTGTCCATCACAAATCAGTGCACTGTCACCAAAACTCCCATCAATGATGCTCGTGTAGAAAATGTGCAAATGTAGCTAATTCACGGAAATAATGGCAGGACTACAAATGAGAAGTTTCAGGTAGTGCTGGGCGGTATGACCAAAAATTTATATCACGGTATTTTTCTAAATTATACCGGTTTCACGGTACATGACGGTATTTTTTTTTTTCATGCATGAGTGGGTGTTAACCATATTTTCTACTGATTGAGAGGAAATACTGCAGTATATTGACTTATAATGCCTTATTTTACTGTCATGATGAGTGAATATTGTCAAAAAATACCACACTAAATAGTGACTAAACACGAGCCCTTTTAATACGTTAACCAGGAGTCACTCTCATTTATAATCGCAGCATCGTCTGATAAACTCAGCATGCATCTACACTAAAGAGCGGCTATATTACTCTTTTGTCTCATGCAGCGCACTGCCTGCGTCTGAGTAACAAACTAAAAAAAAACAACAAACAAAAAAGTGCATGTGATATTAACAGACGAACTACGCTCATATTTATAATTCCAAACAATCAGTAAGCGACAGGTGCTAGGAAACGCTGTACTCATTTATTGAGGAGTCGGCTGCGGTGCTTCTCTGCCGCTCGCTGCACAGAACAGACGCCGAGAGAGGCGACACTTCTCCGGGAAAGCCAGACCTCGCGCTCGCGGGACAGCACTGGAGAAATCTTCCAACTGAACCATAGCTAAGCTTTATCCAGAAAAGTCCCTTTGGAAAACAGCTTTATTACACACTAAAGGAAGGATAAAAGAACTTGAACAAAAAAGTGTATTAGGTGCCTTTTAAAAATGTGTCAAAAATGTGTGGTTCTTTTTAATGTCAGGCAAAAGATTCACAAACCGAAGGAAAGAAGAGGCTGTGGGCTTTACTTATTTTCTCTAGAGAATATAATATGAATTTCTGTAGATATTTTTCATGGAATAGATTTTTTTGAGAAAGTTCACACGTTTTCACGGGAGCACTGTGAATGGCACATTGATTAACAAGAAAAACTTGGAAATTATTATTTTCTGAATTTTATAATTATTGCCTCTGCTTTTTCTTAATGTTGGCTTATTTTTTCAGACTCTATTGTGTGACAGATAATCCCAAACTTTAATTCAGTTTTGATGTGATAAGGCCTTGATATACTTAAGCAAAATCAATACAATGTTCATGTTGGTGGTTCGAAACAGCTGTTGAACACCTTTGAACTGTCTTTGGTCCATAATTACTTAATTGAAAGATGCTTAGATGCTCCACCTCCTTTGACATGGAAATCTTTTCAGACTTATTTTTTTTTAAAACATTTTACATGTTTAAAAATTATAATCGTCTCATCTAAAGATTTCCTCAGTCAGTGTGTTTGTGTTTTTACTGTTTATATAATTAGCTCTAACTCTAGATGCTGCTATGCAATAATTTTGTTGTGCAATAGCTTACTGCGCAAGGAAGCTTTGATTTCAAAATCTGAATTGAGTTGCTTCTAACTAAAAACACAACAAAACAGTCAATAATAAAAAAGAACAAATGCATTTCAAGTAGGGATGCACCGATATGAAAATTTTGGCCGATACCGATAACCGATTATTCTTTATTTTTGAAAGCCGATAACCGATATGTTGGCCGATAAATCTATATCCAAATTGTTATATACTTTTTGAGAGCCTGATTACAAAAAAGGTCTCATCATTAAAAGCCACATCCCAAACACTTCAACATAAGCAGCCTAGTTTGAACGGTGTACGTTTAAAAAATATTTTTACTCTCCCATTACCAAATTTAGTCATAAAAAAGCCTTACAAATAAATAAAATTATGCATAAATAATGCAAACAAGTCACTGGACATCATTACACATGTAAAGAATCAAAATGAATGCGCCACAGATCAATAAAACGGAATAGCCTCTGCACGGACAATAATTAAATGATTTTAATTACTAAACCATATTGTTGATGAAAATAATAAGAGAAAAATACAAGTGGTTGTTGTTATTAATAATATATCAATGATTTTGAAAAAGTAACAAATTAATACCACTGTTTTAAATAGCAGCCATTGAGCTGCAGCTCAAGCTGAAGCTGAAGAGCTGAATGAACACGGTAAACTGAAGCGTTTTGCTGGCAGCTTATTTAACTCAAGGAAATGCATCCTGAGATTAATATTAATACAACATAAACATAATATTACAACTTATATATGTACAAAATGACGCAGTTATTGCATGCTATAGTCAGAATGTGTGATCCTGTTGTGGATGCGCTCATTAGAATGTTATATACACAACATTCCCAATCATAGTTATTAATGTTGTGCACTGCTGTTTGAGCTGCGTGTGCTGAGCTAAAGATGATCACCGGTAAACTGAAGCGCTCTTTTAACTTAACCAATCGCATTCTATATGAGATAAATCAGATATACATCAAATAAACACAATATTACAATGTACAATTGCACAAAAGGCTGCAAACGAACAGCGCGCATCTGAAGTGTCTCTGAAGAAAATAATGCATTATTTATCGGCTTTAAGATATCGGCCAAATTTTCTTATCTGGCCGATACCGATAACAGAAAAAATGAGCCGATATGGGCCGATACCGATATGGTGGCCGATATATCGTGCATCCCTAATTTCAAGCAGTAGCACAAATAAATAAACCTTTCGGCCAAATTCGCTGTTTTGAATTCAAAATGGTTTATTTGTGTGATTCATGTAGATCCGCTGAGTCGGACAAACAAACAGAGTTGCTAACTGTCTTACAATGACAGCTGTCCGTGTGAAAACCTTGTCCCAAGATGTTTTTGATCAATTTTGGACACCGAAGGACCACCATTCAAGTGGGACTTAAATATGCCGTAGAGGGATATATAAGATTTTTTTTAAAAATACGGTTGGTAACAAGATTTGAAAGCGAGGGTGTATCGATCACAATGCAAGCAGGAGACGCCTCATTATGGTCGTCACGATCGCTGATGACAACATCCAGGATTCATGTACTGCAGGTTAAATTAATTTACATTTAACCAGTTTAATATGGAGAGGCACTGAAACGTAGACCTTCGCTTGTGTATTTGACCTACACTGTACATGACACGAGAACAGTTAGCTATTTAGGTTTGTACGTTAGCATGGACTCATTAACTTTAACATTAGCTAGTTTTAGCCAGAGATACCTTGCTAAAGCACAAGATGACATTAACGTTCTGCTTGAGCTGATGAAAACTGTAAGACGAAAACGTTCATCCAGAAAATGAACGTTCTTGTCTTCATTGGTATTGGGGGTGAATGCTTTGGGACATTTTGCTCTGTTTTGTTTGGGTTTAGAAAATGTAATAAAATAAATTCTATTGCCCATCCTCTCAGGATACCTGGAATCAGTGTTATAAGTACCCCAGGCACTTCGCTTTTCCATTTTTGTAGCATAAACACCATCAAACCGATGCAAGCTTCGGCTCTTCCACTGTTTCTCTATGGCACTGAAACCTACAGATGTTTGAGTCCCGCCCCGTGCAACTGATACTCGACTGCCATTGGCTTATCTGCGTTCGAGGGGAGGGGCTTACCGACAGGTCAATTCTGTGCCCGCTCAAAGTCACCCACTTTCAAACGCTCCTGCGTGTTTTTGTGTGCGTGCTCTGGTTATGAATTACATAACTAAAAGTTTCTATTTACAGTGTTTTGCAGTGTTGAGTATTTTGTTTTCGCAAGTTTACGTAGTCCTACACGCTCACAGATCTTCATATTATAACAAGAAAAAAGAAAACATACACGATGTAAATAAGATATTCATTGTGTAGTTGATACTAGATTTTAAAAATAGGTCTGTTTACCTGGCCATAGACTCACACAACCCATCTTGTTTTGCCGGACTGGATAAATCTACATTCAAGTAAGTAAAATGCCTAAAATATTTTTTTCTGTGATTAGTAATATGTCTAGATCATGCAGTTATTGTTGAATGCATTGATCATTTTAGATTTTGAGCTTATGTCAGTGTTATAATTTTACAACACTGGTTGAAAGGGGTAGCAAAATTCGCCTGTGCACCTTGCATTACATGGATGAATTGTGATATTTACTAATATATTTGATAATACTAATAGAAACTGTTTTGATCATTCACAAGTTTTAAAGGTGGGGTAAGCGATTTTTCAAAAACGCTTTAGAAAACTGATTCGGGCCGAGTAGCAAAGCAAACTTGTAGCCAATCAGCAGTAAGGGGCGTGTCTACTCATGATGTGGAGGAGAGAGAGATCAGTGCACGGGACGGACATTAGCCGAGCCGAGCGACAGAAAGACAGATGGCGGATAAAAAACAAAAGAGGAAAACTAATAAGTGCTATTAGCATGATAAGCGAAGGGCACAATAAGCTATCAGACAGTATTGTGTGAATGGGTGAATTCTTTAAAATATGTAAGTATGATTGTGATTAATTTGCATTGATATTATTTAGTCTGGAAAATAATCAGTGGGTTTTTTCCATTTCAGAATGTGTCCATCCAAGAAAGACCTGCCTCGTTATATGTGTGTGATATCACTGATGCCGTCCAAAATATGAACGGTGACTTTGAGATGGACTCTGATACAAGAGAAGAAAGTTTTAAAGTCATGAAGAATGTTTTAAAGCTTTCATTCAGTTCATCAGGTTTTGTAAATATGATATGAACATATTTTTATAATAAATATATATTTTTTTCTTTTTTATAAAAATGACTTTTTTTTATCATTGTGTGATGATTAGTGTGTATACATATATAGACTATTGTTATGGGGTTACAGAAGCATTACACCCTGCAAATTAGCCTTTAGATGTTCTCTACGTTTGTTCATACAGTGAGTAAAATCACTGAATTTCTGCTCCCCAAGAGCCCAACATTGCAATATTACAACAATTCCCTAAAATGTCAAAAACGTAAAATCCCATTTATTTCTGCATTAGAGGCCTCCTACAATAACATTTAAAAGGTGAATTCTTTTTTTTCTATATTTGGGCCTTTGATAATTAAAACACTCAATGTGTCTATGTCCTGGGTCTACTAAAATCTTTGGAGCATTTTTTGTTTGGTAAAGGGGCCATAACACACACCGTTTCACCCAATCTCATGTTAATCTTGAGTACCTATAGAGTAGTACTGCATCCTTCATATCTCCAAAAAGTCTTTAGTTTTATCATATTTATAAAAGAAAGATACAGCTTTACGATTCTCTCCAGAAAAAGCTGAGCTCCTGGAGGCGTGTCGTGGGCGGAGCTAAAGAGTGACGAGCACTTGGGTGCCGAATGCCAATAAAACAGACATTTGATGCGGTTTCACTTACCGTCTGCAGTTCTGAATCATGACCGGGATCTTTTATAGCTCGACCGCTCCATCTTTCAGTATCAAACGATGTGCAAATCCAGCGTCGAACTGGGCCTTGTTTATAAAACGTTCGTCAACAAACACACTTGTGAAACTCCGTTGCTGCTCCGGAAAAACAAATTGAATCCACTGTTTACATAACGCTGGGTTCTTTATGAAGCTGAACAAAGTTATCTTTCCCTTACAACCAAAAACACACTTCTTTGGATTGGAGACGTTCTTCCCAAGCCGCCGGATGAAGCGCGTTGATGGGCGCGATCTCGCTCTGGTCACCCCCCCCCCCCCTTTAAACACAATTTTTTGTTTTTTAAAGTGACGATTAAGCAGCCAGCGGCCGACAGCGACTTTAACACGTTTGATCAATTTAGCCTACAAATTGCGCGCTGTTAGGTGCATATCCAAGTGTTTGTGCGAAGTGTGGAAGCTAAAGCGTGCTTTAATGCAGACTGTAAAGTCTACTTTTATTTGTGTACACTCTCTAGGAGAGCACTTAAAGGGATACTCCACCTAAAAATTAAGTCTTTAAAAAAATCATTCACATGCCCTCATGCCATCCCAGGCATATAGGACTTCCTTTTTTTCAGATGAACACAATTGAAGAATTTTAGAATTATGATTATGTATACTTATAATTACATACGATGTTTTGCATGAATGGTCTGTCCTGGGTCTACTAAGACTTCAGTTTTTGGTTTTAAATCTAGCTGTTGTTTTATACTGCTATCTTGCTCTAAATCCTTGCTTATTTGTACATGATAGCCTGGTACTTTGTGTACACAATTTGGCATATTTTTAATGTTTCTAGTTCTGTGTTGATTGAGACTTACAATTAAAATATCTCCTTCACTTTCAGAGAGAACAGGAGATGAGAATGAATGAAATGGGAAGCCGTGGAGCCATTAATATGGGAGGTATGATCATACTGAGACTCCACATGCAATTGGAAACAGCTGTGTGAGGTGTCTTTTATATTTTTGGGGCAGTGTATCACTTGCATGTGCATTTAAACATGTAGCTTTGCATCTTAAGATGAGTCTTTTGTTTGGTTAGTTAAACTGAAAAATTCTTATTCTCTTTAAACTTAATTGAATAATTAAATGTTAAATAAAGGGCCCCCATGGTGTTTTTTCTGTAAATCTTTTATTTTTATTTGTTTTTTTATTTATTTTTATTTTTCCTGTCTTGGTTATTGAGTTTAGGGTGCCATCATGTAATATTTTGATGCATAGCTACAAACATCATCACACTTGCTGCCTGTTTAGCATAGATTTCCAAGTTTGCCACATCAATATTTCAATTATATTTTGTTTTTAATAATTTTATTCATCTTTTATTCATTCTTTTTTTATTGTGTGTAAATTGTAGTGAAGTAATGTACAGTCCCAAATATGACCTTTTTTGATGATTTGGATAAAAACAACACACATTTACACATTACATCATATTGCAATAGGGGTGGGAATCACCAGAGGCCTCACGATACGATATTATCACGATACAATATTATTGCGATTTTAAATATATTGCGATATTCTGCGATATATTGCAATTTATTACTTTTTTTCAACTTCAAATTATGTCCCCAAAGGAAAACTTTGACAACATCTGTTTTAACTAAAAATAAACATTTCTCAGTTTGTTTATCTCACTTCAGTTTTATTGTTGCAGTGCAAAATGGGATTGTCAAGCAGACAAACTGACCAACACTTTCATGAAAACCTGTCATAAATGTTGTACGCACCTGGCAAACTCAACTATTTGTATTACAGTCTAATCTAGTCCACCTTAATTAAATGTAAACAGTTATGCACTTCTGTGCTACTACAGGTATTTTCAACAGTGCAACTTGAAATTGTACTAAAAAGTTGTGCAGACCCTTCAGCAATTGGAACATTTGAACGTAAACATGTAGTTTTACATCTAGGGATGCACCGAAAATGAAAATTGTGGGCCGAAACGGAATCCGAAAATTCTGGATGCACTTGGCCGAAAACCGAAACTGAAAATGCTTTGTAATGATTATTTATTATTTTATTAAATAATATAAAGTAATTTTGTAAGACTTTTAAAATTTAACTCAATTGTAATAATACTGAATTTAAAAAAAACACAAGCCAATAAAATAACCACACTTTTACTGAAAGTAACACTAAAAATGGACAGAATTTATATTAATATTGGTAACACTTTACAATAAGGTTCATTAGTTAACTACTTTAGTTAATGAACTAAGAATGAGCAATAGTTCTATTTCAACATTTACTAATGCATTATTAAAATCAACAGTTGTGCTTGTTAACAGTTAATGCACTCTGAATTAACAAGAACTAACAGTGAATAACTGTATTCTCTTTAACTATTCTCATTAATTAACTATTGTTCATTGTTTGTTCATGATGGTTAATACATTAACTAATGGAACCTTATTGAAAAGTGTTACCTTAAATTATATATTGATATTTAATATTTTGTTCACTTCTATGTAACAGATACAAGTTGTTGTTGGGTTTTTTTTGGACTAATTATCCAAATAATGTATAGTCCTACAAAGCTATTATTATCAGAGCATATGAGCAGAGCATAGCGTCACTGAAGGTAGAATTATTTTAGCAGCGTTGCCCAGTACAGCTGAACTAGCCTACAGCATGTTACAGCGCAGTAGCGCTACTGCTAACCGGAACAAGTAGGCCTATACTGCATAGAAATTTCCTGTCAGTGCGTTATTTGAGTGGACTTTGCTTTTCCGGTGAGCATGAGCGGTACAAGAGTGGAACACACATTCATAGATCGGAATATTGTGCGGAGAGTCAAACCGCGCAGTGACGAGGAGTGAAACATGCGCTGAACACTGCCGGGCGGGGCACGACATATATATATTATTATTATATGTAGCCTATATTTTCGGTGCATCCCTAATTGCATCCCCTCCTTGTTTACAAATCCGAAGTAAGTCCATACATCTGATTTAAACACGGACAGGGCTTTCCTGATAACTTTCCGCGATGCTGCCCTCTTTATTTTACTAACTTACTGCATGCTGAAGGTGACCCCGCTGACCTCACCAGAAAAAACTCAACACCACCATCTAGTGGATTGTAAAGAAATTGATTTTATTATTCTATCAAATAGTATGATAAAAGATTGATACTTGGCGTCCATGTATCAATACAGTATTGGCTTGGAAAATATCGCTATACTATGCTGTATCGATTTTTTCCCCCACCCCTATTGCAATGCACAATAGTTTCTTTAAATCGTTAAGTGAATTAGCCCTCTCAGTGTATGTTGGATGTGCTTTGTCTTACATAGATTCATTTAACCCTGTCGCTGCGGTTAGCGGTAACCCTTCACAGATGGGCTTAGCAGGCCGAGTTGGAGCCATGGGGCCTGAAGGATCATCAAATATGGGGACTCCCCTAATTCCAGATAATGGAGTGATGGTAATGTATTGATGTTTGGCATCATCTTATTGTACAGTTTGTTGTACAGCCATTTCTTATCGGACTTAAGATCTTCATTTAAGGAGATGATCAAAATTATGAAAAATCTGATAGACTTTTTCATTGAAGGGGTCAAAACTTTTGTACAATAAGTCCAGTAACTTTTGTACCCTAGCCCGAGTCCAACTGGAGCATGTTTATTTTTTATTTTTTTCTCCTCCCCATTACAGCCTACTGTTGCAGCCATTAAAATAGTTCAGTTTTGTTTTTAATTCCAAAGATGTTATATTTCTTTCCATTTCTTTATTAGGTAATTTTAAAAAAATCTATGGAGCATTTTTTGTTTGTTAATGTGACGATTAAGCAGCCAGCGGCCGACAGTGACTTTAACACGTTTGATCAATTTAGCCTTCTCTAATCAACACTCGACTTGCCCACAATAAAATCCATAGTGTGGAAGCTAAAGCGCGCTTTAATGCAGACTGTAAAGTCTACTTTTATTTGTGTAAACTCACATTATCAACAATCTTGTGCTTTAGTAAAATAAAGAAAACAAACAAGAATGCGCTTTCTGCCATCTCGGTGTCCGTTAACTCAGGGTTTCCGCAGGTCTTAAAGTCTTAAATTTAGTTGTATCAAATTGAAGGCCTTAAAAAGTCTTAAATTGTACAAGAAAGTCTTCATTATGATTTCAAGAGGTCTTAAATTTGGGGACAGAATTGCGATATGGCTGAATGTGACGATTAAACTTCAAAAGGCTATGATTTAATTAAATAAACACGAGCGCTGCGCGTTCAAAGTCCGATGCTGCTTTGTGTTCTGCTGTTACCGGGGAAACAGTTATATTTCTGCCAAACGCTCCACCTGCTGGCAGAGAATGAATGAGCATTTCCAATAAAACTGTTCAGACCAATGCAAAAATAGACCCATGTTTTTACCCTGCAAACACGCAGAGCTGTAAATGTGAACTGGTGGATCGATAAGAAGACAATGCATTATAAAAACCTAAACATAGGGGTGTGCGATATGTATGGTCTGCGATAATATCGTAATTGTTGTTTTAATGATGTGCGATTTGATATTATATATTGATATACACCTACAACTCTCACGCATACATTAGATGATGAAGTCTAGCAGGTTAGACTAGTGCGCATGCGCGTTTATAGTGCGTTCTTTCACTGCATTAATCAGTCTATTAAAATGCATTTAGAATGATCACATAATTCAAGATATGGGGCAGAAATTTATATTTTTATATAATTTCATATAGTTAATATCACACGAAGAGTGCCGTTTTTTCTCCAAAAGTCAGCATGATTACAAATGTGATATTGATTTTATACAACAGTTCAATAAACAAGAAGTTAGTATTAAGATACTTATGTTTTAGACGCCATATTTCCTGCTTTTGCTCTATTTCTCCAACAAAAATTGTTTCATTCCTGAATGAAACAACCGTTTAAATGATTCGGTTCAATCGCAATGACTTACTTAATAGTGACTTGCTGCCACCTACTGGCAGTTTTAATTTCACATTTAAGGTACCTTTTCATTTTTTAAATAATTTCATACTTCAGTTTTCAATGTTTTATGTTTAAAATATCAAAACATTATTTGTGCATTTGTAACTGCAGGTTAAAGTACTTAATGTTCCTCTGAGCTACATTAAACAGTGTGTAAACGCATCTAAATGACTATTCTAATGCAGCTTCTGTGTTTCCTCTGTGCTGCAAAGATCAATTTTGTTAATACTGATTAAATTTGCTTGGTAACGACCCAAATGCAAGAATTTGACTCAAAAGATGGTGCACACTTTTAGAACAAAATGGCTTAAAGGTAAAAATGCCCATAAAACTGGTTGGAAATGATTCCTTGCTATCACTGCTGTGAACTGACCACACAGAATTGAAGAATATCAAAAAAATTCACGAGTCAGCTCTCAGCACAATTAGAGATAAGATATCAGCACAATAACACACTATAGCAAAATATTGTCTAATTATCGTTATCGATAAAATCCAAGAAAATTATCGAGATATAATTTTTTGTCAATATCTCACACCCCTAATTTGTTGTTTAATTGATATAATAATTTATTGATGATAATTGTTTAAATTAATATAATAATTAATACTTTTGACTCATCTATTTTCTTAAAAATGGTTTAAAGGCTGAAATGTAAAGTTTATCATTTTATAAAATGTTGTTTTTGTGAAAACTTGTATCTGAACTATAAATTATGCTTTTTACAGTTTAATATGGTACTAGACATTGCCCTTCCCCGCTCATATGGTATTAATTTTATTTGTGCACCTCTTAAAAAGGTCTTAAATTTGAGCTTAAAAATCCTGCAGAAACCCTGTAACTAACCCTGCATCACAAAAATGAACTGAAACTCATCATATAGGCTACTTGCCTCATACACATGAGAAATATATCTATAGAAAGCTTTATAGAAAGTCATTAACACTTTTGCCGGCGCTTTGCAGCAAGCTTTATGCTTGCGCTTGAGCGTGGAATAGGCTAGCTAGCCAATATATTAAAAGGCTCATTATGGTTTAGTATATATTTAAGTAATTAAATTAATATAAACGTGCGATCAGTTGAATAATGGCTTAAATGAACGACTAGAAAAATCTTTAGTCGGGACAGCCCTAGTTTTAATCCAGTCCTCCTTTCTTCTAGAACTCTTCCATCTGCGCTGAAGGTGCACTGGCTGCTGCTGGCGGGGACACTAAACACAGAGCATCTTTTCCAGCACCTTAACTGATGAATGTCTAAAATATTAAAAGGAGAAGCCTAAAAAAGGCCTGATGCCCAGCCAGTGTGAGCCATGATGTGAAACTTTTACACCGGTCCTAGGGGTGTAAAAAAAACTGCAATTACTGTATATAGGAAAAGTACAATGATAATATGTATTAAATGTAATATTATTTGATTACAACAGTATTACATAAACTGCAGTAAAACTGTGAAGCAGCTGCAGGAGAAGCTTTTGTGCATAACGGCACTGTACTCTCTTAGGTTCTTAAAGCTGTCCAGCACACACAGAAAAACACAGGGTATAATGTTTAGGAGTGTTGGGCGGAGATTATTTAAAGGGGTCCTATTATGCTTTTTCACTTTTTTAATTTTAGTCAGTGTGTAGTGTGTATGTTTTGGCATAAAAAAGATCTAGAAAGTTACAAATCTCAAAGTCCACTCCAAAGGGAGATATTTAGTTTTTAAAAAAATCCATTTTCAAGAACTACAGCAAACGGCTCGTTTTGGACTACAGCGTTTGGTTTCCGGGCTTTGTGATGTCACAAAGCGGCTCATTAGAATTTCATTACAAAGAATTCCCGCCTACAGAAATGTGAATGGTTGGGGGGAGGGAAGGGGCGAGGTCGTGGTTAGAGCGCTTGGTTGAGTGAGTGCATCAGACGAGACGACGAAGAAGAAGTGCTGCTGCAGAGTTAGTGCGTCAGAGAAAACCAAGAAGAAGAGCTGCTGCAGAGTTAGTGCATCAGAGAAAACCAAGAAGAGCTGTTGTGCTGTAGCCTCACATTTTTGGCATGTCTAGAACAGCGGTTCACAGTTCCAGTCCTCACGTACCCCCGCTCTGCACATTTTGTGTGTTTCTGTTCTGCTTCATACGTTTGCTATATTTGACTGTAAGTGCCCTGCGAAGTGGACATTACCAGATATTCCTCCATGATTCCAGTTCGAAGGGAGCGTATATGTTCCATACAAAGGGCATTTAAGTGTGCGAGACGTGAATTTAAATTGTATTTATTTACAGAGGTATATTATGTCCCACTTCACGCTTCTCTAGTAAGTTTCGTTTGTGTGTGAAGACGCTGCAGGCAGCGGTTTAGCGCAAATCTGTAAATGAATATTCTGAAGTGAAGTAAACTTCCAACGGATTCCCCTGCTCAGGACACTGTGTAGGGAGCATGTCAATCGAACACAGTTCATGCACGGAGCTCAATTCTAACGAGATGATCTGAATCAGGTGTGTTAACAAAGAGACGTGCAAAACATGCAGAGCGGGAACGTGAGGACTGGGATTGAGAACCGCTGGTCTAGAACAATTCTTACAAGTATAACACAACGTAGCTGGGCACCGCGGACAGACGCCGCCGGTGTGCTACACTCATAGAAAATAATGTATTTGAATTTTAAAGGCGTGGAGCGACGCTGCGCTTCTCGTCCGGTGTGCGACTGCCTGAAACGCTTTTTTTTTTCACCTCCGTGCCCAAACGTCTTTGTTTGGGCTTCCGAAAGCGGATGATGTCAGGAAACAGTGGTTGCAATTTACTTTTTAACT